ATATAAATAGAATATTTTATTAATAAATTCAATAAAATCATATTTATTCGTTATTAGTTATTATTAGAAATTAGAATTAAAACAAAATCCTTTGAACATATTCAGAAATCTTTAATTTTAATAATAATAGATTTCTTAATATTAATTCTATTATAATTAATATTTCTTATAAAAAAAGAAATATTAGATTTATAGGATATTTATCAAATTTTTTAATTTTTTAATTAAAAATAAATAAATATAAGAATAGAAAATATATTAAATGTTACATAGTATTTATTAATATTTTATTATTAATAATTTTTATAAAATCAAAATGAAAGGAGATTAATAGATTTATAAAAAATGACATTTTTTCACTTATAAAGATTTTGAATATCTCTATAAATATAAGAATTTTAATGCTGATTTTACTAATAAAATTAAGAATAAAGAAATTAATAAATATTTTTTAAATTTTAATTGATTATAAAAACATAGAAAGATAAAAAAAAATTTATATAATTATTTATAATATAATATATTAGTTAATATATTATATTAATAATAATAATTATATTACTCAAAAACAAAATAAATCTAAATATTAATAATATTATATAAATATATATACAATTGATATCGAATTTTTTCAAAAAATTTACATTCGATTATTATTAAAAATCAATATTTGAAAAAGCTTTATTCCATAAATTATGTAGTTATTATATAATATTCTAAAAGTAGATAATTATAAAATGAGCTAATCAATTCACAATCTATATTTATCGTATATAATTAAAAACAATATAATATTTGATATTATTAAATTACAAATAGAAAATCTATTTTTTATAATTAATAAAATATTTACAGATTATAAGTAAATTGTATTTAAAATAATTAATTTTATAGTAAAAGAATATTAAATATTTATACTAAATATGTCACTTAAATTTAATAATAGTCTAATTATTCAGTGAAATATTGATACGATTTATTTTGAATAGAAAAAGTATTATAAAAATCTTTGTTTAATTAAATTAAAACCATTTGATATGTAGAATATATATAGTAAACTCAGGAAATTGATAATAATAAAAGATTAATATATTATATAATATATTTCAGGAGTATATATAACAATTATATATTATATAAATAATCAATTCAAAAGAAAAGGATATTAATATTCTTAATAAATGTATTTAATAGTAAATCAATGATTTAAAAAAAAAATTTATTTAATATAGATTCTCTTAAATTGATTCTATTTATAAATATATTCTTTACTAATAACAAAGATTTATTTTTCCAGATTAAATATATTATTGTTTTAATAAATAAATTCAATAAAATTAATATTATTTATTAATTATTGATCAAATATGAAAAAGTTATTGAAAATACATTAGGATTAAAGTTTTGTAATATGATTTTAGATTTTAATATTAATATAATAATTAAAGATATATTTAATAAGATATTATTGATTATATATATCAATTTAGAGATTATTATATAATTATCTTATAAAATTCAATATAACTATTAAAAAGAATTTAATAACTGATACAATAATAATTCAAAAAATATATAAAAAACAAGAGATTATAAAAATTAAATAAATTAATAAAGAATTTAATTCTATAGAGATAATAACTAAATCTAAATTATATTGAGTTTTAAAAGATTTGATTAATAATCATACTATAAAGATTAAGGTTATAAAATAAATTGAAAAAGATTGATAATATAAATAATTATATATTAAAAAATATTAATTAGAAAAGATATAACATAATAACTTTAAAGAGTCGTTTATATCGGGATAGGGATTATATAATTATATGATTATATATACTAGTATCCTGGTATTATAGTATATATATTTTATAGCCTTCAGCTTTTAAAACCTTAAGTAATATTATAATAGTATAAATTATTAGTACTATATTACTCCACTATCCCTATGATGATACTAACAAATATTAATAATCAAATTAATCTAAATAATTATTAAAAATCTAAATCTTCTGCTATCAGTTTGAATTCAATTTCTTTTAGATTAGATTCTGTTTTCTTTTCGGTATAAATCAATAATAATTCAAATTATTTAGATAATAAAATGTTTATATCTAAAATGTATTCTTTTAATATAGAATTTGATATTAATATAAATAATGAATAAAAAGATTAAATTCAAGTTTTTAGTGTAATATTTTATAAAAGAATTAAATCTAATAATACATTTAATATTACTAAAGATCAAGATTACTTTTTATAATAGATATCTTAGGGTTTTATTTTTTTTTTTTGAAGAAAAATATAGGTTAATTTTTAAAAATCAGTTTTAAATTTTATTTTAAGATTTTGTATTTTAATTAGCTTAAGTTCCATAAAGCTCTTTTATAATATATAAATGTAAAGAAAATGCTTTAAAATTTATATTTTATTTAAATCTAAAAAAGAGATTTGTAAAGCTTTTTAAGTCTTTATTAAATATTATAATAAAAACTAAAGGAATCTTTATTAATTATAAGAACTGATTTTCAATCTTTGAATTAGGAACATTCGGAATTGATTTTTGATTTTTTATCAAATCTCATTTGATATATTTAAAAATCTAAAATATCTTATAATTTGGGAAAATATTATTAAAAAGAAGAAGAAGATTATATAATCTTCCATTGAAATTAGAATTAAATCTATTTTAAATACTATAATAAAATCTAAATTTAATACTTTAAATCTAATTATTATTAATAATTTAATTAATATTTATTATACTTGTATTATAAATATTATTTTAAATTTAGAATAAATAAAATAATATTTTTTATATTTATAAAATAATATGAATTATACTCTTGAGTTTCAAATTATATAAATCGATTTTATTAAGTTTCTAAATCTGTAAGTAATTAGAATCCCCGTTTTATTTATTATTATCAAGATCTTCAATTATAATAAAGCTTTTTGAGTTTAAAAAATTGTTTTAATTCTAAAAAAGGAATGTATTATTAAAATCATTTTAAATAAATCATATTATGTTATTAATTAAAAATCTAATAACAATATAATCTTTCTAATACTTGTTAATCATTTAGATCTATTGTAATACTAGATTATTACAAAAAACTTTATTTTTATAGGAACAACTAATAATGAAAATATTAAACTTAAAAAATATACTACTTTTAGCTTAATAATTAAAGATATTTAATATATTATATATACTTTTATTCAATTTAATAATAAAAATCACTTTCATAAAAAGAAAAAGAATCTACTTTTTAATTTATTATAACTTTATATCATTAAATACTATATTAATATTTTTAATTATATTATTTCTATAAATAAAAATAATCTTTTAGAATCTTATACTTTTATTTAAATTTTATAATTAATATAATTACTTTCTTATTAATTAGTTCTTTATTCTACCAATGTTAAATATTAAATTATTAAATTAAAAACTAAGATTTTCATAAAATGCAAATTATTGAAATCAAATTATTTCAATATAGATATAAAATATTTTGAGGAAAAGGCTTTTTTATTCAATTATAATAATACTAAATCTTTTAAAGAAGTTTTTGAAATTGAATTTGATTTTATAGAATTCTTAATATTATTTAGTTTTTTGAACTTTTAAATTCTAAATACAATTATGAATTATAAAAAAAAAATTATTTATTAGAATATCTAAATAGATCAAAACAAAAAAGAATTATTAAGAAGCTTGAAAAAGAAATTTGGATTCTTGATGTTAAAAAAGATTATAAAATAAATAAATTCAATTGAAAATTTGTTGAAGGGAATTATAATAGTTGCTTTTTATAGAAAAAGGAATTAGAATAAATAGGAAATAATATATAGTTTAAAAGGTATTTTTAAATAAAAATATAAAATATAATTAAAAATAAAGAGTTTTTATAGGATGTTTATTTAATTTGAAAAAAAAATTAATAGAACTTTAGATTTTAGATATAGATACACAATCACACTTATTATTATTCTTTTAATAAAAGAAAAAGAGAAATAAAAAAGATATACTTACTATATATAAATTATAAATAGATATATAAGAGATTATTCCCCCTATTACCTTTTTTAGATCAATATACAATTTAACTTACTATATACCAGCCTTGTCTTCTGTATTCTCTTAATAACCTCGCTTAAAGCTAGTAAGGGTTAATAACTTAAGCTTATTATAAATTAGGGTTATAGAAACTATTGAAGTTACTTAATTTGCTCAATCAGTAGATTATTTATCGAATACCTTCAGTTTCTTGAATTTCTAATGAATCTTTCTATTTAAAGATGTTTTACTATCTTTAGAGGGAAGCTAATTGATACTAAAAGTAGTGATTTCTGTTAGCTTTAGGCGAGGTTGTTAGGAGAATACGGTACGGTATATGAACAGTTTCTCTAGCGTTAACATTAAGAGTTTCGGAGGGGACTAGGAGAACTTAGTTAATAAGGTTTCTCGAGGCCATTAGAGCGTGCTCCAAATTATAGTCAAACTCATACGGTATTGAATCAGAGACATACATAATACTCAATAAATCATAAATCATATTAACATATAATTGATATAAGGTTTGGTGTAGAATTGTAGAAAAGATCACATCTTCGACAGATTTCAACGACTTTTCAATAGTACGTAGACAAAAGTGGGGCCGTATTAAGTGAACTTGAGGGGCTATGAAATACTGACGTTAGTATTAATCAATAAGTAAGACTCTAGCTCCCGACTAATGGATGACGAATAGCTATAAATTCAATCAATCCCCCACCAAATAATCTTTTTCTTTCATCGATTTGAAAATATTTTATAATACAGTCAAATTTGGAAACAATATCGATATTTCTAACCCAAATTCTACCATCGTAAGTAATCATTTTTCCAGCTCAATTGATTTGATCTTAGCCTTTATACATCTTCCAGGTATACAAGTGGATGAAAGCATAGTGCTAAGAATTGTATGTAGTAGTTCATTTAAATAAACATGCAGGGGGATTATCGGGACGACATATTTGCAATCGCGATCGTAGCTCATTTTGTTGCGTTATTTTTTTTTTGGTGGTTCCAGAGGCAACATTTCCAGGCACAAATAAAGTTAGAAGTACGAGCTCAGGTTCTCCGAGATCTGCTGCATACTCCAGCAGAGCAGCGATCGACCCGAGTTTTAGATCTATGTTTCTTCGCCGTGGCAAATTCTCTCATCTCGAAGCAGTTTCATACCAACAATCCACCTATAAATTCCGAAGATTTTAACACACTTGAATTGAGGCTACATTTGGCAGAAAGAATTAAGGAGTCTGAGGCAAAGGTGCGTGGCAAAATTGAAATAGGGGCTCGGAGTTTTGTAGCACTGACGAGGAAGGAAGAAAAACAGTTTGTGGAAGGTATGAAAAAGTTGATCAAGGGATGGACTATGGAGATGGACAGTGATGAGGAATGCCATCTCCCAGGCGTACACTATTCAACAGGATTTGAAAAGGAGATCAAATATATTAAAAAATGGATTGAGGATCAGAACAAGGAGAAGGTGGAAGAAGTATAATTCTTTTAGTTTCGTGATATGATATAGCCACATTCATCACAGTTGTCATGATATGCTGCTTTCTAAGACGGGCTGCGGGGGTACAATACACGAGAGACGGCTCTATGGAAGGATATAGATGTTTAACTGTACGACAAACATTTTTGGAGATTGCGCAGCTAGATGTCAGTTTTGAGATGTAATAGGAATGCAAAAATCATGCTTACCCAACCGTCGCTGCTACCATATTTCTCAATCTCTCAAGATTGTCTCAGGAGTTCTAGTTCACTCATCAATCCATTTGCTTCTTTCTTTTCCTCTCGTTAATTCCACCACCACGTGTTCCATTCATCGGCATCAAAGATTTCCCTTACCTCCCCTCTTCTTTCTCTCTCAAAGAGAGGCTCTTATTGAGAGCTACTCTTCTATCAATTGCAGAATCATCCGACGGTCACGATCGACACTTCAAGCTGCTATTTCTGTAAAGAATCAATGTGACTAAACATACACAGCGGATTTAAACGCTGCTTATCGTTTTAATCCATTGACTGCGAGTCATTGAAAATAGAAATCATAGTATAGAGATTCTCGAGTTTCTAGTGGAGGAGTGCGAATCTTTATATTTTGACACTGGAGTAATCAAGCGCGACTAGTAGACTAGATGGAACATAAGATTTCAAAGCATTAAACCATTTAGAAGTTTGAAATGGGAGGTATAGCTTAACTAAGTGGAGCCCGGAAGGAGACAGTCGGATTTTAATTAGAGCTTTCAAACCTGAGAAGTGGAGAAGACGAGTGCATGTGACAGATAAGATTCTTATATACAGAGTCAAACTAGGAAGACGACTTTGAGTCTTTTTATCATTAAGCATATAGAAAACATGACCACAATAGCATAGATTCATAAATATCCAATTGCTGATCCTGAAGAATTTCGTCTTTGAGAAACAAAAATCATCGGTTTCAACAGAATAGTATAGAGGACGCACAAGAATAGCAGAGGATGGATTTCAAAGTAGAAACTTATTTATCAAATTTCCGTTGGATTTCATTCCTGTCCTTTCGAAGGAATCTTTTGAATAGCGTGAAGTGATGCTTTCTTATAGAGAAAGTTATTGGAAGATAAGAAGTGGGTCTCAGGGATCCCCTATCTCGTCTCAACTTTAAGCGACGATAATATCAATTATATAAACTCCGTGTATAACATTGATATTAGCATTTCACGCTTGAACTTTAGAAATGTAATTCTTTTAGAACTTCGATCCTATCTTCATTGTAATGATATTCTTTAATTTTCCGATTTCTACCTTCTTAAAATAATACAGTACTAGTTAACTGCTATCAGCCGAAATCCATTTTTATATCAAAAATAATCTTTTTACTATATTTTCAAATATGAAAATCTTTATTATTTATTATTCAAATTTTTTGAAAAAAAAGATTTATAAAATTCTTAAGAAAATAATTGATATTTTCAAAGTTTTAAATCTTTTAAAAATTTATATTATAAAAATTTATATAATTGAATTAAAAAGTTAAAAAAGTTATTTGATTTTCGCTTATTTTATTAGTAAATTTAATTATTTCAGAAATACTTTGATTTTCTATTTATATAATTTAATCAATAAGAATGTGAAAAATAGTTTATCTAATTTTTATTACATTTTAATTAAAATTAAATCAATTTATTTCAAAAAAGATTAGATTGAATGAGTTGTTTATGAGTGAATTTATGATTTGAATTGTTTATTTAATTATGTTATTTTGATTTAATATATATATATATTAATTATTATTATATACTTGATTTGTCTTATTATTTTTATAGTATCTTTTCAATTTTTAAAATATTATCAATATATATAATTTCAATTAGGAATTTTGACTTTATTTTATATTAACTCTTTATTTCTTAAATTTCTTAATGATATTACTTTCCTGTTTCAAATACATTATTTAAATCTTTTTTATTTAATTATAAACTATTTTTAGAAAATATTATTTCTTTAAACTTAATGTCCTTTCCTTAAATTATAATCAAATATAATTCATTTAAAACATTATATATTATATATTCAAAATAATGATATTATAATCAATATTAATTTAAACAACTTTATTATTAAATATTGATTATATATTTATTATAAATAATGTCTTTTATTTCTATTGAAATTTCCTTGTTTTTTCTTTAATTAAAAATTTAATATCCAAATCATTATTAATAATATTAATAATTATATAAATTCTATAAAATTATATATAAATAATAGAATCTTTCTATTTTTATACAAATACATCTTTTTATTATTGAAGACCTTTTTAATATTAAGTTCTTTATAAAACAATATTATAGAAAGCAGGCTAAGCGCATTAGGCGTATTATATAATCATCTTGATTAATATAGTCAACTGGATTATACATAGCTTTCAATATAATACATACTATACTTAATATTAAAACCTTACCTACAATATATATCTTTTCTAATAATCTATACAGGAATTCAAGATATATTTAATATCTTATTTCCATTCTCTTTATAATTAATGTGGGCGAAACTTGGTACTGGTTACATAACCTCTTTCTATAACTAGTATTTATAAATCTTCTTCGTATAGTTTAAAGAAAAGCAATTAGTTCCCACCCATCTTCTTATACACTTTATAACACACTATATAGTGTGAGCGAAACTTGGTACTGGTCACGTGACCTCTTTCTATAGCTAGTATTTATAGGTCTTCTTTGTGTAATTTAGAGAAAAGTAATTAGTTTTTATCCACTTTCTTGTATACTTTGTAATACATTATATAGTACCTACTCCTCCTTTTCTTTATTGAAAACATTATATCTCAATAACTTATTTATAATATTTACAAAAAACTACTTTATAATCCTATTACCTTTAACCCTTTTATATTAATAATTTATACAAAAAAAAGAATATTAAAAGGTTAGAAAGCTATATATAAATCTAAACTTTTAAATTATTTCAAAAAACAGAAAATTATTAATTTAAAAAAATCGATAGAAAATAAAGAAATAAAAAATTATTCAATATTATGGAAAAATCGAACAATATTGGTTTGATGATAGATAAAAAGAGGGATATATTCTTTCCCCAAAAACCAAATTGTAATCTTATATAGATTTAAAACAGGATATAATTATTTGTAAATAAATTATATTTTATTATTATAAAAAGATTATAAAAACAATTTATAAAAATCTTTTTAATAATATTTATAAGAATTTAAATAAATAATCAATTTTGAAAAAAAAAGTTTTCTTTTACAAAATAAATTTAAAAAAGGTTAAATAATATTTATTCTCTATACTTTAATATAAAAAAATTTTAAGTTTTTTGAAAAATCTTTATATTTTTTGGTATTATTTATATTCAAGTAGGATTTGATTATTCTATAAAACTTTAAATTATTTATAATAAAATTAGAGAAAAATTATTATTAAATTTAAATAAAAGATTATTTACAAAAAAACCTATTTGGTTCAAGTTTAGGGTATCTAGAAGCATTTTCGAAAAAAATTTATAGTTAAGGTTTTTTATAACAAGATATCAATTTATAATTTTACCTTTTTCCTTTTTTATAAGATTTTGAGGGAATAGAAATTTTGGAAAATATAACTTTATTAAATTTTGATAAAGTTGTTAGAAAAGAAAATAAAAGGATTTATACTTATATTATATATAAAAATATTATTTATTCAATTATTCAATTATTTTTTATATTATATCAATATAGTTATGTATAGAATAATAATTAATCAATAATATATTTATTTCTAATTTTGAAACTAAATTTCAAGAAAATGAATTATTTATTGTAAACTCTAAATTCTCGATTTTTTTACTTATTATTGATATTTTTAATATTAATAATTAAGAAAAAGATTTACCGAAATCGGCTGCAACTTTAGTTGATTGTAAGATAAATAATAATAAAAAATCCGAAAAAGGTTTCAATTTAAAATAGATAGAAGGAAATTTTAATATTAAATAACTTATTATCTACTTAAACTACTTTTCCAAGACTCTTGCACTTTTAATTCTTTTATCTGAAATAATTGGAATGTTATAATTTAAGGGTTTCAATATTACTAAATAATACAAAAAGATGGAATATCTTTTTCGGAATTATTAAATACAAACTAAAGATTTTTGAATACATATACCTTTCCAAATAGATTATTTACTTCAAAAAAAGATTAAAGTTATAAAAAAATAACAAATAAAAAAATGGAATTAAGAGAAATATTTTAAATTTGCTTTTTTAAAGAATATCTCAATAACAATCTTATCTAGAAGATGTACTCCCACAATTATTTATAAAAGTTTATCAAAAAGTATAAAAAGAAAGAAAGAATAGAAATTAATAGATTTAATCACTACATTTAATAATTTAATTAGATTATATAATAATTTATCAAAAACAAAATCTTAATAAAAAGCGAAATTACTAAATTCTTCTTTAAGAATGTACCATCCAAAGTCTTTTAAAAATATATTATTATAATCAAATATAATATAAAACAATTCAGTATAATAGATTGAGATAAAATATATTATTAAATAATATAATATATAAAATCTGAATCTTAATATATCCTTTTCAATAATAACAATAACAAGAATTCTGATTTTAATAAAATACTAAAATCTATTATTCTAATTAAAAAGATATAAAAAAAAAAAATGTTTTAGTAATTTAAAGAATAAACAAACTTAAGAAAGTAATTAAACTTCTAAATAATTTTGTTTTTTTTATAAAAAAACAAATTATAGCAAGATTTAAAACCAAAAAAAAAATTGAAATAAAAAAAATTCTTTTTAATTTTAGTATTGTAGAAATATCTCAAATTACAATTCAAAAATCAATTCAGATTTCTTTTTTTACTATTATTAATATTATTATTAATCTCGAAATAATGGAAACTATATATTTAGTTTATAAGAAAGTACATTATATTTGTAATAATAAATAATCTAAAAATAAAAATT